GAGAGGCTGAGTGGGTCATCTGGGAGCAGGCAGGTCAAGTGAGGGCAGGTGGCCAAAGCCCTTAATTCCCACATCTCCTCCCCAGTCTGTCTGTTCTCATCAACGTCTTTCTGCCCGAATCTGCGTCACTGCACGCCAGTGGATGGCTCATTATACCTTTCTACGGGCAAGATCAGGCAAGTCTTAGGGTAAAATCTGCCCTGTTTGGCTTATTTTTACTGGGCACTTGTGAGGTCTAAAGATGTTACAGGAAGTTCGGGAAAGCTCAGCAGGTTTTACCATCCTAAGATTTATCTTTCAGTCTCAGCTACCCTTGAATTTTGAATTACAGACAAGGGCCAGGTTCTATTGAGGCTCCAGTGTAAATTCTCGTCCACTTGAAATACAGACATAGGAATCCCCCTCCCAACCCTCCACCTGACCGCTGCATCCCTAATAACTGTTTTCTCTACAGCCCTGACCCGGCTTCTAGTCCGGAGATTCTGAGGGTCTCTCTCTGAAGAATAGCAAAGGCCACAGAGGAAGTTAAAGTTTAAAATTTCAAGTTTGAACACTTTAAAATGCACTGGGGAGGGGCTCTGGAAGGGGCAGCCTGGCCCTTGTGGGGCTTTGGAGGGCTTTAGGACACAGATGGGGTTTACCTTGGGTATCAGAGAGTAGGAGGATGGATTGTGAGCAGAAAAAGAATCACAGAGCAGGCATCTGAGAAGTTACAGCATGAGACAGACAGCAGACACAGGAAGCCAGCATGGAGCGAGGGGGTCACAAGCGAGTAAACGCTATGTGCAGCCTGCAACAACATGCAAGGTAGATTAGGGTCCTGTGGGGAGGACTTTCATTTTTAAAAAATATCTGTTTATTTATTTACTGTGTGTGTGTCCGTGTCCATAGGGGTGAGAAGAGGGTACTGGATGAATCTCTTGGAACAGGAGCTACAGACAGACATGAGTTGCAATGTAGGAGCTGGGAATTGAACCCAGGTCCTCTGGAAGAGCAGTCAGTGCTTTCAACCACTGAGCCATCGTTTCAGCCCTGAGGGCTTTGAATTTTGAGCTGAGTTCTGACTCCAGTCAGTAGGTGGCAGAGAAAGCCCTAAGGGCTGGGGTGAGGTGAGGGTATACAAGGAAAGCAAGGTTGTGCTTCAACGAACTGTGTGATCCAGGACTTCTCAAACTCCCAGCCTAAGTGTGCCCATTGGGAAAATCAAAGGATGGGGCTGGAGACTGGAGTAAGCCTGTGACTGACCTAGGTGGGGACCTAGCAAGGACTGACTCCCCACTGTACTCTACATGACTTCATCCTTGCTTAGAGCTTCAATAATCTGCCAACAATTCCCACCTTCTCCATGTCTCTTCTGAGATCAAACTTGTAAACACCTGCCTACAAGAAGCTTAGAGTGCCTCTAATTAATACACACAAAGTGAATTTCACCTTTCTTCCCCAGAGGTCTTTGTCTCAAGGTATGATGGCGACCTGATCCAAGGCACTAACACTCACTCAGACCCTTTCCCAACTTCCATCTCAAATCTTCTGCCAAGGTTTTTCTTAAGTCCGTCTGTGTCACCTCCACGGTGAACACGGGAATCCAAGCTGGTGTTACCTCAATAAACAGCTCACTTCATTTATCTTCTCGTGTGCTATTATTGTAATTTTGTTCCCCACACAGAAGTGTGATCATTTCAAACTACAAAATTAAGCTACATTCTTCCTCCTTCCATAGTTTTCAGGTTCTTTCCAAATAAAAATTAAAATTCTCAAGGCTTGCAACAGCTAGACTGATGTGTGTGTGTGTGTTGTTGTTGAGACAGGGTTTTTCTGTGTAACCATTAGCTGTCCTGGAACTTAGAGATCTGCCTGCCTCTGCCTCCAGAGTGCTGGGATCAAAGGTGTGCACCACCACACCCAGTACTAGACTGATTCTTACCTAGTACATCCAGCCGGAGTTGCCTTCATTTGCCATGCATAGTCCCTTGATCCACAGCGCCTCTGCACAGCTACTCTTGATTCTGCCCGTTTTTCTGTCTTCTCAACAACGAATTAAGTTTTCCCCCAGAGCTGAAACATCACCTGCTCAAAGCAGCTTTCTCTGAGATTAAGTAATCTTCCTTAATCACTTTTTGAGATGGTTTCAAGTCCTCCAGACTGTACTTGAACTTCTAAGCAGCTGAGGATGGCCTTCAATTTCTGATCTCCTTGCCTTCACCTTCTAAGTGTGGGATCTGGTTATACTGGGTGCTGTGGACTGAAGCCAGGGCTTCATGCATGCTAGGCAAGCATTGTGCCAACCGAACTACATTCCCAGCTCCCCACACCCCCTTTCACTCTGACCATGGTTATACTGTGAACCAGGACACATTTGTAGGTGGAATAGTAACTTATTTTTACCACATGACACTGTTTATATAATCTTAAATGTGTTGTGTCTGAAGTCAGCTCCTACTTTGTGATCTCATAAAACCTTCAAAGTACTCAAAACAGGTTTTGACTGTTGTATTATTGGCCATCTTCCTTTTAACCTGTGTTCTCTGGGTGGGGAGGGGAGTTTATAGAGCATTTCTTAGCATCTATGAGCACTTTGTATGAAATATTTTGGCAATGAAAACACAGATGGGTTAGTAGCACCATCACAGGACAATGAAGCACAACCCATGAAGTCTGGGTCAGTGAGGGCTAGTCTAGATGGGTAAGAGGGAGAAACCTTTCACAAAGTCTTTACTTCTTTCAATACCAGGAAGGCAGGAATCCTGTTCACTCCCTTTTATGTTCCTAAATTACAATTATGGAAAATGGAAAACAAAAAGCTATCTTCCAAAAGACACAGCTCAACTTCTAGCTTCCTGATCCTCACATGAACTAATAAAGCTGAAACCTCCTGCAGATGTGCAGTTATACAAGTCTAACACCACCTGCTTCAAACGCCTCAATTGTTACTTCAGAGATGATGAGACAAGTTTATCCCAAAGGCAAATGGAATATGCTTTGGAAACCACCTTCAGCAGCAGCCAGGTGTGGCAATCCGGAACTACTGTGTGGTTAGATACAAGAGTACATAGCTCATTCACAACTCACAAGGTAAAGCAGAAACATACATTAGCCGACAGAAGCCTTTTTAAACATTATCATTAACACAAGAAGCTAAGTGGGAAAAGACATAATTTGTACTTACCTTGTAATTCCCAGGAGAGCTTTTTCTGTGGACAAAATATGAAGACATAAACAGTACAACAGATGGTGTAATCCCAGCTAAGCTTTTTAAAAAGTCACATGGACAAAGAAACATACAGGGTTTCAGAGTGATTAAACTGGCTGGCTTGTTGCAGTAATTCTCAGACAGCACAAACTCAGGTACTCCAGCTAAATACTTAGCATTTAACATATAACAAATCTTTCTTTCATGGCTTGTTACTCTTCCCTGTGTTTATCTAATTCCTTAAAAGCTTGTGTTAAGTCTCTCACAAGTCCTGGTCTGGGAGTATGAATTTTTTTCATATAAAATATAACTAATCTTGGGCTGGAGCAATGGCTAAGTGGTTAAAAGTACTGGATGCTCTTCCAGAGGACCAGGGTTTGATTCCCAGCACCCATATGGTGCCTCAGAACCATCTGTGACACCAACCCCAGAGGATCAGACTTTCTCTTCTGGCCTCTGAGACTAGTAGTGCATGTAGTGCAAAGATATACATGTAGACATAATCCATACACATAAAATATTAAATATTTTTAAGAAAGAATACATCAATGCTGCGGGATAATCCTTTTGTACACTGTAAAGATCTGTCACTCAAACTGGTTTAATAAAAAGTGACTGGCCAGTAACCAGGCAGGAAGTATAGGCGGGGCGACCAAACTAAGGATGCTGGTATAAAGGGTGGAGTCAGAGATGTCAGCAGACAGAGAGGAAGCAGGATGTGTAGAAAATGAAGTAATAAGCCATGAGCCACATGGTAGAGGGTAGATAAGAAATATAGGTTAATTTAAAATGTAAGATAGCTAGTAACATGCCTGGGTTACCAGCCAAGCATTTACAATTAATATTAAGATTCTAAGTGATTATTTGGGAGCAACTGCTGGCACAGGAAAACTCTGCTTACAAATCAACAATTAGTTAACTTTTTAAATTATTATTATGAATTTTATTTTTTATTAAACATTGATTTTTAATATGGAGAAATGAGGTAAAATTTAGGTAAAAATGAAAAATCTTTTACGAATTCGTCAAGGGCTGAAGGCTTGACAGAACTATAGATCCAATACTGCTGATTGAAAAGGCTAAGAAATGACCAAGGACTGGGGGTGTAGTCATAGGTACCGCACTCACCTGTGCCTAAGCCTCTGCTGCTGCTACAGCTCATAGGCAGGCAATGTACCGGGAAACTTAGCAAACAAAAACTGAACAAAAATGCTCTTTATAAGAGCCTTGCTGGCACTGAATATGGATCAGGAGTAGCTTTTCTCCACCCAGAGTTCAACGCCTCCTTTTCTGGTTCAGTTGCTGAATCTCTCTAGTCCCTGCCCATCAGTGCTGGTATCCATGGTGATAAGGACGTCCTGTCACAACTCATACAATCCATCTTTCATGGCTGCTCTTCCTGCAGCTCATCTCAAAGCAGGAAGTGAAGAGTTCAAATGAAGAGGTGCACAGGCCCGTGCAGTCCGGAGAGGCTAATTGTGTAGACCTTTGAACTCATGAGCTCACACACGCTGGGAAAAATAGCCCCCGTCCAGTATAAAACAGCTCTGTTTTCTAGGTGTACAGGAGAATGCACAATGTGTATTAAACCACAAAAGGGACAAAGGGCTTCCAATCCCACATCATTTCCAAAATTGATGATAATCTTTCTTGCTATCCAGTCATATTTTGCAGACAAAGTTTTATGTTTAAAATCATTTTTCTGCAGCAAACATCTGTTTATTAAATTTGAATTTCGGAGTGAAATGCTTTAGCAATGTGAAGATGAAATGTGTTAAATGATTTGAGATAATAAATCAGGGGCAAAGGCTCAAACGAAAAAGTGAAAATGGTATTTATTTAGCTTTTAGGAAATTAAATAACAAAATCCAGAACAAAGCAAAACAAAACCCGTAACATGTCATGACTGATCATATTCCAAGCACAACAGCCCTTATTAATGAATATAAAAATAAAATTTACCATTCGTACTTGCTCTTTTCCAAACTTTTACTACATGGATATTTTTAGAAGCTTGAGCTAAGGGGGAGGGTAGGGGGAATCCCAGAGCTACCCAAGCCCCTACCATGTGACTGAGATTACAGTCCCACAGGGACACGCATTTCTATTCCTGAAGACCCATATAGTAGATCTCTTGGAGCTCCAGACTGATGCCTTCATGAGGAACACAGGCAATGTCTGTCAGAGCAGGAGCCAACCTTGTCTGGCACTGGTCTGGTCTGGTCTTCTAAGCTCTTCACAGGACAGCAGCTCTAAGCTGTCAGCATTCCTGGCAGCCCAGTCTAAAGCCATTGGTATCCTCAGTAGCAGCCTCCCAACTGCACCAAAACTGGGATTAACGGAATTTAGGTCAAACTTTGACCTGTACTCCTGGGAGCTGGAGGACAACTGATACAGGAAAATAAGGAGTAACCAAGTGTGATGACTGTACTTACCCACCAATGTACAACAAACCTAGAGAAAATGAGCAGGCCACATTACACCAAGCCCCTCAAAACAGAGGCACATTTAGTGAGCCAAGGCCCCTGTCCATACTAACAACCTCAGTTCATCTAGGCCCTTCCCTGAAGAACCTTATTAATCTGTTTCAAAAGGCACCTCCGGCCAGGGCAGAGACCACAAAGAAGCAGGACTTCCAGCTAAGACAATGGCGCATGGAGTTTAGTTGTGCAGAAGAGTACAGCGTGAGACGACAGCATCACTAATATCTAGAGCCTGCTGGATCACACTCCTGGAGAGTCTTAATGCAGCTTAACGGCCGTTGCCCAGATGTCGTTGCTGGGGACCGGGGGAAGGACCCATCCTTGGGGAATGGAGTTGCCTTTGGGATGATCAGACGGCACCAGGTACTGATCCCAATCATGCCTTAATGAGAACATTACAGAACAATGTTTATTTCTGGTTTTCCCCAAGCAAGATATTCAGAAACTATATTTTATATCTAGGATACTATTTTCAAATGGCAGATACACTAACCTGCTACAGAACTTGGTTTCCAGGAAGTATGCCAAGGGTCACACTACTGTACACATTTAAGGAAAACCTTAAGTTTTAACTGTGTAGACAGCCAAACAATGAATGTACAGTTAACTCTCATTATTTGCATAATCTCTCTCTCTCTGAGACAGGGCTGAGGCTGACCTGAAGTCCCTATCCTCCTGTCTCCACCTCCCAAGTGTTAGGGCTACAGGCATGAGCTACCACACTTGGCTATATTAGCAAATTTAAATCATCCCATATGGCATTTTCATGAACCACAAATGTAGAGGAAAAAAAAATCTGTCATCTCTCTTTCTTCTTTCCAGCTCTTATAGTAAATTAGCATCCTTGTTGTGGTCTGCTCTGTGCCATGTTGTTCAATTTTGTGCTTCTTCCTGGTGACCTTGTTGTTTAAAATGGCACCCAAGTGAACTGGTGAAGTGCTATTGTTGCTTAGTCTGAGTTGTGAATCACCTTGGAGAAGATAATGTGCTCTAGACAAGCTTTGTTGGACTCAGATTACAGCACAGCTGGCCCTGATGCAATGCTTGTACTCAACAGCATACATTAAATCAGGTGTCTTCAAACCAAACCACAAGACAAAATGGTGATCAGCTAATTAATAAGTAAGACAGAGGCTGGAGAGATGGTCCAGCAGTTAAGAACACTGCCTGCTCTTAGAGAGGATCCAGGTTTGACTTCCAGCATCACATGGTGGCTCACAACTGTCTGTAGCTGTCCAGTTCCATAGACTCTGATGCCTTCTCTTGGCCTCCACGGGCAGCAGGTGCAAATATGGCACACAGACATACAATCAGGCAAAATAGTAAATCACATAAGATTAAAAAAAAAACAAACAAAAAAAATCAAAATCAAGACAAGAGGCTCAGCTGTCTCCTTCAGGAGCAAGGTCCGGTATTCTGTGACTCAATATTCAAAGTAACTTGAGCGAACACCCCATTATCAATAATATGTTTAAAGGCTAAAACTTGTGCATCAGACAAAGTTAGAACTCTTCCTGAAAAATAGACTTGATATGCCAGAAAATTCCTTCCCAAGATTCAGAAATTATTGTAGTGTTGAAAGGAACTTCAGTTATATTCAAGGCATTCTTTGAGACCCCTAGGTCCTAAGATGTTTTAGCCTAGACAACAAGTTTACACTGCCTGGGCCATTCATCATTTACTGTTTTATCTATTGACTTCTCAAAAGACTGCATGAGGGCAAGGGGCTTTGCTAAAGCTCAAAGGCCACACTCCAGTCTACTATTTCTATTTTATAGGTGAGGGCATCACAACTAGCTGGGAATTACCCAGCTTCTGTTGAGAGCACTCAGCTTTACCCTGCAGGCACTCAGGGTCAGCATGGGCCTTAGCCTTCATGGACAACTATTCAGGAATAAAGATTTCTCTTCCTGGGTTGATTTAGCAGTAAGAGAATTAAAAAAAAAAAAAAAAAAGGCCAGCTATGCTGATGCAGGCCTTTAATCCCAGCACTGAGGAGGTGGTGGCAAGTAGATCTTTGAGTTCGAGAACAGCCTGGTCGAAAGAGTAGTCACAGCCGAGTTTCTTTACCTGTTCAAATGGAGACACTGACTTCCAAGAATTAATGAAGACTTTTAAGATACAAGTGGTACCCTTGAAATCTGGCAACACTGCACAGCCAAAAGGAACTTTTAAAAAAGACGTGGCAACAGACTTCAACAGCAGATGCATTTCATGAAGAGTTTACTGCTACACAAGACAAAGGGACAACAGAGGCAGCCCTCTGACCTTATCTGAAGGAGCGCAGGCAAAGAGTGCTCGGCCTGGAGGTAATACTGGCGGAATGGCTGCAATAGGTGAGCAAGCGGGAACTCATCTGAAAGAGAAAGGCACAACATGTCACCTTGCTTGCTGTTAAGAGTGCACTCTCAAGGCAGGTGACTGAGCCTATGATTATGACAACACGGTAACTTCATCTCCTCTGTAACCCTGACTTCCACCATAGAGCTGAGAATCTCAACTTGTAATTAGAACTTCCTTTGGGCGTAAATTAGATTTCTCATGATAAAAAGAACTGTCAACTTAGATCTTTCCTCTCTCTCCACTGGTAAGGATAAACTTACCCGGATCTCCAAATAACTTGGACTCGATTTCTCGTTTCTGAAGTAAAAGTTTCTCTTTCTCTTTTCTCTGTTTCTTTTCTAATTCTCTTTTCCTCTCTTCCTCCTGTTCTCCTTCTAGCATAACTCGCAGGGCTCTCTCTTCAGCTTCATACAGTTCAGAGCGCTTTTTAATGAGTTTTCTCAGTCGCTGAAGATGATGCTCAAAAGTCTCATCTGCTGAGGCAGGAGGACAGACCCCTGTACAAAGAGAAGCAAATGGAAGTTCCTTTGTCTTTACACCGCTAGGCAGTAAAAAGACGGGTAAGAGGAACACCTCTGCAGCATTTGCCATGGGCTTTACACACGCTTCCTAATACAGCAGGGCACCAGCTGAGAAAACTGAAGCACCACTTGCCACTGTCAGGAGGAGGCAGGAGGTCTGCACCTCCCCCAGGAGACACCTTTTCCTTCTCTCTCTGATCTATTTTGGTTTCTTTATTGAATTCTTTACTTTGACATCCTCTAGAAGTTTGTTTTTTGGTCTTCATCTCACACTATAACCTCCAACTCATGCTACATGCTGATGAACTAACTCATTTGTGTTTCTGTGGGGGGAGTGGTATGTACATATACATACTTGCGCAAGCACGTGTGTGTGTGTGTGTGTGTGTGTGTGTGTGTGTGTGCGCGCGCGCGCGCGCACGTGTGTGGGCATCCCCATGCACCAGAGCAGCATCCTATTCTATCATTCTTTGTCTTGTTCCCTTGAAACAGGGTCTCTTACTGAACCTGGAGCTAGGTTGGCACCTAGCAATCCTAGCTAATTGAGTACAACCCCCAACCCCACACTGGGATTACAGGTATATGTGACTATATCTGGCCTTTTACATGAGTCCTGGGGATACAAATGCAGGTACTCATACACACTGCATCACCTCCCCAACCCCTTGCTGATGAACTCTAATCCAGAATAGATATACCTCTTTCTACAAAGACACACCTCCCAATCCTTCCCAAACAGTGCCACTAACTAGGGCCCAAGCATTCAAATATGTGAGCCTATGGAGGCCATTCTTTTTTTTGTTTTGTTTTTGGAGACAGGGTGTCTCTGTAGCTTTGGAGCCTGTCCTGGAGCTAGCTCTTGTAGACCAGGCTGGGAGGTCATTCTTAAATCACATTTTCTGAAGCTTTCTGCTTCAAAATTTCAGAGTCAGACACAGTAGGTGGCACACACTCACAATTCCAGAACTCATGTGGTGGAGGCAGAAGTATCAGCAGTATAAGTTTAATCCCACACTTGGGAGATAAGAGTTAGGTGGATTCCTGCGAATGTGAGGTCAGCCTAGCCTAGATCTATAATGAACTCCAGGCCAGTCAAGGCTACATACTGAGACATTATATAAAAATCCAAAATAAAACTGGGCATGGTGGTACATGCCTTCAATCCCTGCATTCAGGAGGCAGAGGTAGGAAAATCTCTTTGAGTGTGAAGCCAGCCTGGTGTACAAAGTGAGTTCCAGAATGGCCAACCAACCAACCAAATTAATTAATTATTCTTACACAACATAATACTAAAATATAGGAATTTAGTATTTACAGCCTGAGGAATTACAGTATAAAAATTACTATCATCTTTGTGGGACTGGAGAGATGACTCAGCAGTTAAGAGCACTGCCTGCTCTTCCAGAGGTCCTGAGTTCAATTCCCAGCAACCACATGGTTGGTGGCTCACAACCATCTGTAATGAGATCTGGTGCCCTCTTCTGGCCTGCAGGCATATATGCAGACAGAACACTGTATACATAATAAATCTTTTTTAAAATATCATCCTTGTTCGGGGTTATAGAGATGACTCAGTAGTTAAGAACACTTGTTGCTCTTGCAGAAGACCCATTTGGTTCCCAGCACACACATGATGGCTTAAAACCATCTGTAACTCCAATTCCAAGGTATCAACACCCTCTTCTTTCATCCACAGCTATTTACACACACACCATACACACACAGATAGCCACACATACACATTAAAATTAGGTTTAAAGAAAAAAGTCAATCCCAAATTTCTGAGCTACTGTTGTCAAGTCTAGTTACTCTAGAGCGTAAAAATAATTTAAGCACCAAATGTTCTTACTCCAAAAATATTTGCAAGCATGGTGGCCCAGGCCTGTGATCTCTACAACAGAGAAGCTGAGGCAGGAAAACTGTCACAAGTTCAAAGCCAGAATGAGCTGCAGAGCTGAGATTCTAGCTACAAGAAAGAAACAAAAGACAAGGAAAAGGTAAAAAAAGGAAAACACATTCACACGATATTATGTGTACAATATTTAGGATGGGGAAGTACTAGAATAAAGGAGGGGGAAGAGGGAGAAAAAGAAAGTAAAAATGCAAAGCTGTGTTTACCTTTCCTCGCTGCAGCTTCTTTCCTCAGTTTCCTCAATTTCTCCAAAGCACGCAGAATGTCCACCATTCTTTTAGTGTCCGACTGTTTTTTCCTTACTTCAGATAAGACTCCATCAGCAGCCGCTTTGAGTTCCTGTTCCTGAAGGGGGAAAAAAGTCCACAAGAACCTGTATCAGGAACCTCCTCACAATACACTACACTTGCCTGGAGGCAAACTTTCAGAGGATCAGGCCATCCACAACAGACCACTGAGTCTGTATTTCTGTTTCCCAGGCCTGGCACGCTACACGATTCAGTCAAGGACTTCATTGCCTGGTTAATGATACAACCATGGCTGCTTTGTTTGCTTTGAGAAAGACCCTGTGGAACCCAGACCGGTCCTAACTGAACTCCCTATCTTCTTACCTCAGCCTCCCATTGATGTGATCCACCTCTCCCAACTGATCATACAGCTCTCTCCCCTTTTTTGGATTTTGTTTCATTTCTAAGAGATGATTTTACTCTGTAGCCCAGACTGGCTTCAAACTACAGCATTCCACCTGCCTCAGTCTCCCAAGGGCTGAGATCATAGATGTGAGTCACCCAACTCCATATGACCTTTTTAGAGGGGAACCTCTTCCCTCAGCACCTTCAATACCTATAGTGAGTTCTTCTCAGTGTTCCCAGGTGTGGTCCAGGAGTGCCTGCTTCTATTTTACCTGTCAAGCTTTAGTTCTATTAAAAATGCAGACTATCTGGAGGCATCACAATCCCTGACTTCAAACTCTACTACAGGGCTACAGTACTGAAAACAGCCTGGTACTGGCATAAGAACAGACAGGAGGACCAATGGAACCGAATAGAAGACCCGGATATCAATCCACACATCTTCCAACACCTGATTTTTGATAAAGAAGCAAAAAAATATCAAATGGGAAAAAGGAAAGCATATTTAACAAGTGGTGCTGGCATAACTGGATATCAACATGTAGAAGAATGAAAATAGACTCATATCTATCACCATGCACAAAACTCAAGTCCAAATGGATCAAAGACCTCAACATAAAGCCAGTCACACTGAATCTGATAGAAGAGAAAGTGGGAAATATACTTGAATGCATTGGCACAGGGAACTACTTCCTAAATATAACCCCAGCAGCACAGACACTGAGAGAAACCGTTAATAAATGGGACTTCCTGAAACTGAAAAGCTTCTGTAAAGTAAAGGACATGGTCAACAAAATGACAGCCTACAGAATGGGAAAAGATCTTCACTAACCCCACATCAGACAGAGGTCTGATCTCCAAAATATACAAAGAACTGAAGAAATTGGACACCAAAAGATCACATAATCCAATTTAAAAAAATGAAGTACAGACCTAAACAGAGAACACTCAACAGAGGAATTTAAAATGGCTGAAAGACACTTAAGGAAATGTTCAGCATCCTTAGTCATCAGAGAAATGCAAATCAAAATAACTCTGAGATTCCATCTTAACACCTGTAAGAATGGCCAAGATCAAAACCACTAATGACAACTTATGCTGGAGAGGTTGCGGGGAAAAGGGATCACTCCTCCATTGCTGGTGGGAGTGCAAGCTGGTACAGTCCCTTTGGATGTCAGTGTGGCGATTTCTCAGCAAATTAGGAAGCAACCTTCCTCAAGACCCAGTAATACCACTTTTGGGTATATATCCAAAGGATGCTCAATCATGTCAAAAGGATATGTGCTCGACTATGTTCACAGCAGCTTTGTTTGTCATAGCCAGAATCTGGAAACAACCTAAACGCCCCTCAACCGAAGAATGGATAGGGAAAATGTGGTACATTTACACAATGGAGCAGAAAAAAAAATAACGACAGCTTGAATTTTGCAGGAAAATGGATGGATCTAGAAAACATCATTTTGAGTGAGGTAACCCAGACAAAGAAAGACAATTATCACATGGACTCACTCATAGGTGATTTTTAAACATAAATCAAAGAAAACCAGCCTACAAACCACAATCCTAGAGAACTTAGACAACAATGAGGACACTAAGAGAGACTTACATAGATCTAATCTACATGGGAAATAGAAAGTATAAAAAGACAAGATCTCCTGAGTAAATTGGAAGCATAGGGACCTTGGGGGAGGGCTGAAGGGGGAGGGGAGAGGCATTGAGGGGAGCAGAGAAAAATGTAGAGCTCAATAAATACCAATAAAAAAAAAATACTTCACTCTTCTGCCTGGAAAACTACAACTATCTTTACCTGTTGCTTCACTTGGCTTTAGTGCTGCTTTTGAGACTCAGCTCAGATGTCATTAAATTATCTAGGGATCCTTCCTCCAATGAACTAGGTAGCTTTCCCTAGGCTCCTTATACTGCCTTCAGTTGAAAAACTTATACCATGCTGTACTGACATGATCCCCTCCAAGACTCTAAGCAATCAAAGAAAAGAGCTATATTTTATTCCTCTCTGTCCCTGCTATTAGACACTAGGCCCAACACCCAATGGGCCTTACCTAATGTTTGTTGAAGTGACACACTTCATCAGATTAAAGTGTTGTCTCCCTAGTGCTAACATTCCTGCGGGTACAATGCTGAAACTTGCCATCAATATACTTCCCAGCAATGCTATACTGGTCTCTAGGGTAGTAGGAGACACAGGGAAAAGGGAGATTGTCCTGGCTAATTTTATGTAAACTGAACATGAGCTAGCTAGAGTCCTTTGGGAAGAGGGACACACAATTGAGTGTTCAATGCGGGTGGAACTACCCTTGGGCAGGTGGTCCTGGGATAGATAAGAAGGCAGCCTGATCAAGCCCTGGAGAGCAAGCCAAGAAGTGACACTTCTCCACGGCTGTTATATCAGCTCCTACCTCCAGGTTCCTGCCCTGTTTGAGTTCTTGTCCTGACTGCCTTTAATAATGGACTGGGATGTGGATGTCTAAGTGAAATAAACACTTTCCTTACCAAGTCGCTTTTAGTGATGCATTTCATCACAACAATAGGAACCCTAAGCCAGGTGGTGGTGACACACACCTTTAATCCCAGCACTTGGGAGGCAGCCCCAACAAGACTTGAACAATGACACCAATAGACACACTAGCATGGAATGGGAAAATTTCCAAAATGCTTAACCCCAAACAACTATAGGCAACTGGGGAATGCTCAGAGCAAGAAAAATGGGACGAACAACTCAATTCATTATCCAATATGAAGTGGTTAGCCCTGAAATCATATACATACAAATAGCATTAAATATACGGGTCATGTTGTATTTATGTATATACGTAACAATAAGTAAAGAAAAAGAGGCCATGAATTTGAAAGAGGACAAGGGAGGTGCATGGTTGGAGGGAAGAGATGGAAAAGGGGAAACAATATAATTACATTTTCAAAAATAAACTCCAGTTCCAGGGGATCCAAAGTCCCCTTTGGACTTCCATGGGCACTAGGCACACATGTGGTCCACATATAAACATGCAAACAAAACACTCACATAAAACAAAACGAATAAATCTAAAATAGTAACAGTAACAACAACAACAGCAACAGCATTCAAAGGTAATGAGGATGCCATCAACCAACACTTGGCAATGCCTTTTCTTCCTGGCTCTGCTGAAGATGACCTAGATAAGCTTCGGAATCAATCTAGGCTTACGTCTGAAACTATTGGTACAAACTTACGTAACTGTTGTCACGCTAACTGCTTTAAGTCTCAATGTGTAAAATTAGAGTAATGAATTTCTCAGGGCCGTACATAGGACTTTAGTGTAGTGTCTACCTTAGATGTGAGTGCTGAACTGGTTGAGGAAGACAAACACAGAAACAGTGTAGACCCTGGGACAGCAGTGTATTTGGGTTACACACACTCTCCTCTTACAACAAAGCACTCGGCAGTCAAGCTCCTTTGCCTCTCCAAACAGTGTACCCAGCAACCTCAGAGCTCCATCTTTACATCTACTCCTCACTAAGCGCTGGAATAGGGTTCTTCTCCCCAGTGACCATCGAACATGGACAGTTTCTATTCAAACATATTTCCAATACATGCTACTTGGAGGGCCCATCCAGCCTGAACTGGTTTTTGGTGCATGCACACTAAGGTAAAAGGTAAACCCCTGTCTATGGAAACTTTTAGAAAGAGTAGCCTACTTACCATCTTATGCCTATACACAATGGGAAGGGCATCTGATTAAGATCAAATGCATCACAGAAAGGGATGTACACAGTAGAAAAGATTACAGGGCCTAATCGTTCAATCAAAATAGAGAACCATCCTCATTAGACACGCTAGTAACCAAGTTCCTCCTCCTTAATCCCACAAAAAGAAGTGCCAACAAACTAGACCGAGTATTTTCTCTAGTGTGGGCCATGGGGCTGTCAATCTTGACAGTGTATCCTTTCTAATCTGTACTTACTATTTGCTTTGTTTTTTGAATAAGTTTTCTTGCTATTTTTGCAATCCTGTGCGAATCCTTATTTCAAGCATTTGAATAAGAGGTCAGGTACCTGGAAATACCTGGACAAGACAGACTCATACTATCCAATACACAGGAATTCATAGTGTCAAACTAATAAACAAATGAACCCTGGGGAAAACTATTATTAAGCACACCAGCTAATTAGACCATAAAGGTCTCGAGGTGTGGCTCGAAGAGAGTCTTCTAAATTTGTATGCTTAGGACAGTATAAAACATAATACGAAGACCGGTTAGTACTGAACATCAGTAAGCGGATTCAACTTTGAAGCAGGGCACAGGGGTGTCCTCCCAGAACTGCACCAGTGTGACTTGTGTGTTCACAGGACTTCATAGTGTTCGTTATAGAGTTTTGTGCACCACACATCATTAACGAGAAACAGAGCAAAGAGGTGGGAATGGCTAGTTTTCACGGATAAGTATAAAGCTAACCAGCACGCAGATTCAGGTTCCAGTCACCACCGCCCCAAGTGCCTAGTAATTCTCACCCGCTTCTTTTCCTCCACTTCCTGCACGCACTTCACCCTCCAGCGGTCAATCTCCTGCTCCCGTTCCGTGGCCTGCGCGGCCTCCGCCTCCCGCTCAGCCTCGCGTTCCCGGGCCCTCTCCCGAAGCCGCAATCGGCGGCGCCGGACCCTCTCCAGCCTCCGCTGCGCCTCGCCCACATAGGCGGCCTGGGCTAGCGGCTGCAGCCGCTCGGCTAGCTCCGCTCGCAGTGGCACAGCCTGAGCGTGTAGCGAGGCCCAGGCCGTTCCGTCGGCCTCGGCCTCGCGCAGGGACTGCCCC